TATTACCATTAGTTATAGTGGGAGCTCAGGGTATTATGAGGAAAAGTATGACATTAATAGGGGATACAGAATATGATTTTTTTTAACAGAAAAGATCCTGAACTGCATTATTGGTTCATTATTTTTTAATTTTGTTGCTCTCCTTGTTCTTCTCAACTCTTATTCATCTTCTTTTCCTGCAACATTTCCTCCCATCAATTCATGACCTTGATCAAGAGGTAAATTGTGCATAGCAGAAATTGAAGACTCCATGTGTATGGAATCCAATCAAAATTGCCTTCTGATATGTCAGAATGTGTTGGAATTTTTGTGTGTGAGAAATTTTTTTAAACCTTGTGAATAAATTCTTACAAGTGACAAATAGAGCTGGCATTATTTAATCCATCAAATACAGAATCACTGAAATGTTCAATTTGAAACATTGTGCATTCCACTGGCTTTTCAGAACCCTCAAGTCATTGGTAAAATCACATTCCACTAAAATCTTAATATTTATTTATTTGCATCCTCCTAAATTTTGTTCCCAATGCTTCAAGAAATTTGCAATTTGAGCTGGAATGCATATTTTAATTATTTGCAGAAGAACACAACAAAATGTGTGTAATGGATCTGCCTTCTATTTGTCAGGCAAAAATATCTTTCACCAACTGACACAAACCAAATAAGGTATATTATAAATTCTTAGTCTAAAATTTCCAATTTTTTGAGTAAGACAGTTATCTTCTGGTGTATATTAGAAGAGTCATTGAACATTTAAAAAATGTATCTCTCCTTTTGGCAACTTGCCTCAGACTTGAAGATTTCAGTGACTTATTCTATTGGGTCAAACTGAAGCACCTTAACATGTGGGAAAAGGTGTGCCTTTTTCCTTGCAATGGGAACTATTTTCAAGTCAAGCGATGATTGAATGGATCTTCAGGTCCTTGCACCAGGAAATCCTACCTATGATACACTTTCTTGATCCTCTGAACATCATAGTCCTCCTCATATTGACATGACATGGTCTGTTTCACTTCCTTTGAGTATGCAAACATATCTTGGAAAAGGGACAAAAAAACACTGACAGGAGAGCAGCAGTTTATTCAAGCTGCTTGCTTCTGCTCATGGGGACTTTTGGGAAGAGAAGTCAATGTTTTCCTCACAATGAATGGTGGGACTCATTCCCAACCATCTTCATGCTTGGAAGCATGAAGTCTTGTGTTCTTCTCTTAGTGGTCTGCATTCATTTTTCATGTGGTGAGATGGTCAAATGCTTTTATGGTGTGATATGATGATATGAAATATTTATATTGAATTGAATTGAATAATGGCAAGCTTTATTTTCTGCCTTTTAGTGTTCACAAGTTTCAAGCAATGTTCCTGCATCCAAACCCCTTCCCCACCCACATTCATTCAGACTTCCAAACACATTCCATTACATCAGAATGGAAAACAGATAAATAAGCATCCCAAAATGTACAATTGCACAACTGATGTAAATACATACACGTTCTTCCTTTCCCCAATAACAAAAACAAAATTTCAGTAATAAGAATTTCAGAATAAGACAACTACTGAACCCAAAGTAAAGCACAAGGTGGTCAGCCTGATCCCAGATAAGGTTTAGTTGATCAAAAAATGTGGAAAGAATCTTTGATGAGAAATTATATAAATTTAACAGTTGATCTTGGTCCTCTAAGATTTTGGAAGAAGCGTTTTCAGTGAATTGTGGGAGTTCCAAATCCTATGGAAGCTCATTTCTGTAACTTTGGAATGCTGGGAATGATATAGAAGGTGCTCTGGTGATGCATTAACCAAAGTATTAATACTTCAGAAATTTCACCATTTGGACACCTTAGGAAATTTGATGGTTTTTTTTATTAAAATGCAATAAATTTGTAAAAATTAAAGATTTATAAAATTTTGGATTTAGGTTTGAAGCAGCAACACTTTCAAAGGGGCACTCCTGCTGAGAGGGGATTGGTGCAGGCCAGAAAAATCCTTTCCAGCAACAACAACAGCATCCCTGCCAACTTGAGGCACATTGATGACATGTCCAGGATCATCAGGAAAGTTGACATAGTGCCCAGAGGGACTGAGTGTGGCAACTCTGAATGTTGCACATCCAAAAAGTCAACAAGGCTCAAGTCGTGTCCAGCAAAAAAGTGCAAAAAGAAGAAGAAGAAGAAGGCAAGCAAGAAAAAGCCCATTTCCACATCCCCTAAGAGTTCAACTGATGGTGTTGGTCAGATTGGACATGAAGACACAAGTTTTGTTTGTGAATGCTGACTTGTGGCAAGTAGCAGATTTCCCTCCATTTTTCTGTCCTTCTCTTGTGTCACCACCAGGTGATTGTCATCATCAGTGGAGCCACCTAATGGGAACTGATTGGAAGTTAATTAGCAAAAACGGGTACAAAAATGGCACTTTGGAGCAGAATTGGGATCAGTTGCAAGAACCATGTTGGCTTTGCAGGTTGTTGCCTTGTTATCACCTCTATGTTTCACAAATGGCATCAGTCATCACAGTCAGTGCCTCATCATTCAAACTCATCCCAAGAAAATTTAAATTTTTTTTATTAATTCTGTCCAGGTCTGGAAAAATACAAAATGCTCCACCCAGCTGTGCAAATCAGGGAAATGCTCATCCCAAAAATCATCAGTCACCGTGAAAAAGGCACTGCTGCAAGGAATAAAAGGAACTCCACAAAAAGTAAGTTACCGTCAACACGCGCACAATGGACCATACTGCGCTGTTGTGTGAAAAGTCTGTTATATGCAAATTCAATCATTAAAAAATTAAAATGTTCAATTTTTACCATACACTTCTAATCATAAGAAGTCTTTTATGTGCATTTAGTCCATTGTGCAGGAGGAAAAACAGCCTCCAGAGGCATTCCGCTGTGCAAAAATGCATTGTGCAGGAGGTCTGTTGTGCAGGGATCAACTGTACTTCAGTGAATTGCAAAAATTGATCCTCTGACCAAGAACCTTGTTTAATTACAGATGAACTGTCTGAAATTCTTGGCTCAGAGCATTCTGAAAGATTTGCCTCCAGGAATGTCTCAGAAAGTGTGGAATCTTCAACAACTGTGAGCCCCTTGATGGAGCCACTCACAGTAAAGCCAGCATTGGAATCCTTCACATCTGCTCCTCCTGTTCAAGTAGCAACCATTGAAACCAACAATTCCCAGAGCTTGAGCATCCTGCAGACAATTCTTGAAGCAATACAGGAAAAGTTCAAGAATAGCAATGACACTGATGAAAACAGTCCACTGGGGAAGCTTGGAAAGATTCTGGGACTGATAAAGGTCAACAGAACCTCAGAAGATAACAAGAGCAGCAGCAATACTTCCCAAATCATGGAGGCAAATACCACTATGGTATCCAACAACAATGACACATCAGCACTCAGGGACTACGATACCAATACCCAGAATTTTCTGAGACAAGACATCAATAAGCCTCCTGACAACAATACCAAGCCTGTCTCATGCAACAGAGACAGCAATTCACAGAACAAGAAACCAACATGTTCAGAATGTGCAGCTCTTATTAAGAAATACAGAGATGAAAACCCTCATCCACATGTTGTGGTCTGTCCCAAGTGCTCACAGATATCTGAATGATCCATGTGTCTGAAATAAACCTGATGATGCTGCTGCTGCCTCCAAACTTCTCTCTTTCTTGATTGAATCAAAACCTACTCAGCCAACAGATGATGGCTCCATAAAAACCAGCATCTTCTACCATCTTCTCATCATTCTTACAAAGTCCTTCCAAAGAGTTCAGGAGAATAACCAAAGTCTTATCCCAAAAAAACAAAACAAAAGATAACATGCATCTTCTGTTTCTGATCATTGCTGTGGCTGGGGTTGCCAGAAGCAACCCAGTGACCCAACCCAGTGAGTCTTGGATGATTATGACTGAAAAAAAAAAGAGGTTTATATACATAACATCTTTGTCTGATATTCATAGGTATTCAGCCTTTGACCCCATCTCCTACACCATCCCCAGCTATGGTTGAGATTGGAGAAGCAGCCCTCCTGAGACCAATTGGGCACCAAATGCCACTCAACACCACTCCTCTCCCACTCATGGACCATGGTGCCAATTTTTTTCATGATAAGCCAGTGAGCCTGGAAGCCAACAGACAAATCCCTGCTGTAGCACCACAGCCCCAAGCAGCCCTTCTCAACATCACAAGGGACAATTCTAGCATGGAAGAGATGAAGCGACCAAGGAGACAGGCCTCTGGCTGTTCAGACCCCTGTGCCTCCACTTCTGACCCCTGTGCCTCCACTTCAGATGCCTGTGCCACTTCTGACCCCTGTGCCTCCACTTCAGATGCCTGTGCCACTTCTGACCCATGTGCCTCCACTTCAGATGCCTGTGCCACTTCTGATCCCTGTGCCTCCACCTCAGATGCCTGTGCCACTTCTGACCCATGTGCCTCCACCTCAGATGCCTGTGCCACTTCTGACCCTGTGCCTCCACCTCAGATGCCTGTGCCACTTCTGATCCTTGTGCCAAAAGCTGCTAAAATATTTGCTTCCTTCTGGGAATAAAGGAGTCATATTGGGAGAAATAAAGCCATCAAGTGAGGCCATATAGCCAAGCTGTGCCTTATTTTCAGCTAGCATCCAACCAGTTGTTTGCTTTGAAAAACAATTTGTTTTATCCAAAATCACCACTTATCCTATATATGTATATTGAAAATCAAGTTTTTGCATTGTTAAGCTCTTGTGTTGCAAAGCTTAATTTTTTGCAATTTATCTGATGGGAAAAATAAGTGTTTGAGGAGATAACCAAAATATTTTTAGACTTCCTGTTTGTCCTGGAGAAAATTGGAACCATGGAGGCAATTACTGCTGGATGCAGCACCTTTTGATTTGATGGTTTTTTAATTGAATGTTTACTCTTTGAGATTTTAAAAACTCCTGCAGGGAACTTCTACAGGTGCATTAGACTTGGGGATCATGGGAAAGTGCTGGGGCTTTGCTTTTCTCACTCTATTCACTTTTGTGGCAATCTGTGCTGGTAATGTTACATCAACACTAAACATTGCTTTTCTCTTATACATTCATGTTGCATTCTTATTTATTTCAGATGGAGCCCCAAGAGTTGTGCATCCACAAGACTCCTTTCTGGTGATTGAAGATGAACCCAAAACCAAAATTAGCAATGCAAAGGTCAGGATGGATAACTCAATGCCCAAAGGACTCCAAGGCAGACAAATGCATCAGAGACTCCATCAAATGAGATTCTTTTGATTCATCTTTGAAGTGTTGAAAAAGAGAACTTGGCTTCCCAGGGTAATAGAGGAATAAAAAAAACTTGCACAGCTGAAGAGTTTCTATAGTTTTCTGTCCATGTATTGATTTAATTCCCTGCTGATTGCATCAGGTAAACAGGTAAGAGGCAGCATTTTGCCAGCAGGAGCTGCATCATAGTTAGTTAGAAAGTGTCTGACTTCTTCTTTGGTAAACATGGTCTTGGTGATGCGCAAAATCTGTGTTCTCATCTTGATCTTCACTTTATGTTGGTCAGCAGGTAATTTTTACTCAAGTACTCAAGTGGTACCCACCATAAAAGTACCATTTCATAGTCATATAGACCAGTGTTACCCAACCCATGGTCCACAGACCATCACCGGTCCTCAGATGCTTTTTGCTGGTCTGCAAGGAACATTTCTTCCACACAATAAATTTATTAAAACTAACAATGAAGTCTGTTATTGCAATCCAAAATTTTAGAGACAATGGCAGCTGATATTATCTGATGAAAAATGCCTTTTTGGTTCTTCTCCTAATAGCACTTCAGAAATAATTTCACCTGCTGAAATATGTTACTTCCACTTTTCAACCCAAGAAACCTTTCTTTAAGCCCAGCATCCTATTTTTTAAAAAGGCATTTCCACTTTATAGCTGCTTCAAGGGTTCTCAACTTATTTTTTGTAATAAGTTTTTTGTCCTGAGGACTGTATGGCAAGTATTTTCAAATTTTCTGCTGATCGTCAAAAAGTTTTTGGACCATTGCCGGTTTGTGGATTTTCAAAAGTGTGATGCTGGAAACAGCTCAAATAATCATTAATAATTAGGAATGATGCTGTTTTTCAATCAAATAAGGTAAAATCTTTCCAAAGGAGAAAATGATGGTCAGCATGCCAAAAATCAACTGAAACTAAAAATATTTTTCAGCGAAGGTAAAAAATCTGAAATCTTAATATCTTAAAAATGAGTATTGAAGCTTACTTTAGAATTCCAGCAGAATCACCACACCAATCAACCCACAGTATTTATCATGGGTTACATTATAATTTTGCCCATGGGCAAAAAAGTGTTGAACATTCAATATTTCTTGAAAATGTATAAAGTGATTTAAAAGAAAATTTACAGCACTATGTATCAGTCTACAGTAAAATCTATTTGATTCAGATAGATTTGTTTTTGCTGCCAGAAACTGTTTTTTTGGGAATGGAACAGTTTGTACCTGACATTGTGTATATGCTTTAAATTCATTTTAGCTAAAAAAAATTGTACAGAGTGCCTTCATTTGGAATTCAAGTGATGAATGCATCATTTTATAAAGTGATTTATTATTCATGTTGATAAACCTTGTTTTTAACACGTTTTTATTAACTTGCTTTCTTGTCCGTTTGTTTGTATGCGCACCACATTTAAGGTTATTTTTTGCTTTTTTAAAACGTGGTTTTTTAGATTAATTTTTCAATCTACTAAATTTTTTTGTGCTTTTTAGTCTTACTTGAAAAACTTTGTTTTTTAGATTAATTTTTTAATCTACTATAATTATTGTTGTTGTTCTTGTTTCAGAGGTGAGAAAGGCCAACAAGAACTTCCACCCTCAGGACCCATACCTGGTGTTTGAAGACATTGAAAATCAAATTCCTCCAACAACAACAGTCAAAAGCAGGCCCAGAAATGTACCCCGCATCAGGCAAAGGAATTATTTGCATGAAAGGATTCAACACAAACTGCACAGCAAACTGCGACTTCAGGCCAAATGAAAGCAAATATTTACAAACTCATCAATCACACTTAGGAAGCAGATCCTTTTCCCACCCCATCTCCAAAATGATAATTGAAGAGATAACAGGACTTTTTGAGGGGATGTATAAAAGCCTCACTTGTACCCAATGGAATCATTATCAAGTATTAATATTCAGGAAAAATAAGGCATGGGCTTGTCAACTGTTGTCATTCTGGTTTTCACATTTACCACAGCACTTGGAGTTGTCAATGTGAATATTCCCAAAGTCCCATCACAGCTGGCAACTGCTGGTGAGCATGTGTAATATTTCATGCCAATTAATTTCTACATGTGCTTGGATGTCTTTGTTGTTTTGTGTGTGTGTGTGTGTGTGTGTCTACAGAATTTATAAAACCTTCAAGGCCATCAAGACTCCAAACAAGTTCAGCTCCCCAGAAGAAACCATCAAGTCATCAAATATCTAAAGGCTTAGATCATCAAAAGCCATCAGGGTTGCCACAAGCTCTACAAAGACCAACAGGAAATAACATCCCTGCAGCTGCTCAGAAGCTCACAGCCCAAAATTTCCCTCAAGTGACCCTAACCAAGTTGATAAAGTTGGAAAGGTTGGACCAAACCCAGGGCAAAGGACATGCTAGGGTGAAGAGACAGTGTTGTTCATCCAAAAAATCCAGCAGTGGATGTGGTTCCAGTAATTCATGCCAAAAGTCCTCATCATCAAAAAAATGTGGATGCTGAATATGATTCCCCTGCTCCAAGACCTTTTCTCCTGACACATTACAATAATAAACTGCATATACACTTCAGCAAGGCCTTGTTATTTCATGAAAAAGTTCCTCATTGGGTTTCTGTTTCTTCTTTTTTTATTTGAGAGCAGGGGGGGGGGAAAGAAAATATGCCTAGACTATAAATAAGCTAGGGTATCAAGGAACTGCTTGCTAAGACTCTCTGAATGTTCCTGGCATTCAGACACTTGACTTCAAGAAAAGTGTCATCATGAAAATTCTCTTGGTGGCATTGTTTGTTTCCTTGTCTGTCCACCTCACAGCATCTTCCAAGGACCAGACTAGTGACCAAATAATTAAGTTACCAGTGCCAAGGTTGGCTTTGGCACTCCAGTCCCAAAACATCAATGGCACAGAGGTCTGGTCAGTGGACAAACAAATACCTATACAAGGACCAAGACTCAAAAGAGAGGGGGAGGAAACTAGCAGAAAGATGAAGAAGAAGAAGAAGCAGAAACCCAAGCAAAGGAGACCCACATTCAGGATGAGGAAGCCTTCAAGAAGACCAAAAAAGAAACCTGCTCCCAAGAAGAAGAAGCTTGGGAAGCCCACAAAGAAGAATGGTGCAAGAAAACAGTGACATTTTTGTCTTTCTGAATGTTCCTCTCTTGGAAAAAAAGCATTCTTGTTGTTCTTGGATGAAATAACAGAGAAATAAATCACACTTTCAACTCTTCAAAAACTTGTTGCTTTTTCTTAATTATTTTTTCCAGCACTATAATTTTGAAAATTGATTGCCTTATTGCTATCTGCATGCCAATTTTTTTTTCAACTATGGAAACAGCCTCTTCATCATCTGATTCTGCCACTGACTCATCATGATTCTTTGCATAATGCTGCAAAAACCTGATGAATGGAATTTTATTTATACACTACATGATTTTTTACTTCTGGCCACAGTCATCATCCTGTCAATTTTTTTTAACTATAAATCATTGTATTGATTGATCTTGTTGTTCCTCAATGTGAATATGCCATATTTTTAGGGCGCATTAGAAAACATGCTTCAGATCCTGGGACATTTTTGAACCTCAAATTGAAACATTATACATATTGTGATTGCAAATGTAACATTCCTTGAAGTGTTATATTTATTTTATTTACTTTGAAATTTCTTTTGACTGCTGCTTAATGTGCTGGTTGCAATGAATGATTAAAATGTGCTGGAACCCCATGAAGATGTAGTAAACATTTGTTGCATCATCCTCTTGAATAAAAGGAGAAATCTTGAAAAATTTCACATCTCTTGACTAAAAGGAGGAATCTTGAAAAATGTTACATCTGGAGAAATATTATTCCATGATGAAACATTTTCCAAGCATTTTTTAAAATCATCAGGAGCTACAGAGAAATACAATTTGTTCAATGTCATCCAACATTTTACTTTTCATTCAAAAATGTGCATGTCCTGGTTCCTCAACACAATTTTGCTTGATTTTTAGGGATAAAAGGAAAATATATAGATGAATAAAATCAAAGAATTGGGGAAACCCACTATAATGAATAACTTTTCAACTTTCTGTAATGCAATTAAATATTCAGCATGAAGCAAGAAGGGCTGTTCAATTTTGCATCCCACAGATTATTGGAAAGGGATTATTTTGCTTCACTCACATTAAATCGCTTTAAATAATTGTCATTCATGTATTTCACCATATAGTTTCCTTATAATCACTGAATTGTTGAGAAGGTCTTTTTCAAAAAAGTTTAAAAACTGAACCTGTGTTGCAAAGATCTGGAAAAAGTGTTTGCAGATGAATGATTATAGAGAAGAAAAAAAGAGGAAAGAATTTCTCAGGATTCTTTTTTTTTTCGTTGAGGAAGTGGGAAGAAGTACCACAAGGTGTTATTGTGTGATCATGAACCCAGCAAAGGAATGGAAAACTATTCTAGGAAGAATCCTTACCATCTACATCCCTTTGATCTTTGCCGGAAGCTGTCTTATCTCTGCATGAAGAGCAGAAAACAAGGGATCTTGCAAACACCACAAAGGATTTCCCGAGAAGTTGAAATACTCAATTGCAGATCATCTCAATATCATTCACCAACTGTGATCAGCAGTAGAAGGTTCAAAAGTTTACAAGAGGAAGAACTTGAAACAAAGGAAGAAAAAACAGTTTCATTCTTAGCCCCCTTTGATAAAATGCTGGGTGTATTCATTGGGATCCTGGCTCTTGCCAGCACTTGTCAAGGTCAGTTTCAATAAGAATCATAGGTGTTTTTCCTCTGGCAAAACCCCTTTTTTTTTACATGCTCAATTTTGTATATATTTCTCCCAAAGGGGCAAGTTTGATCAATCCAGTGCCACAGGCCATGGACTCAGGAAAGCCTTCAATTCCAGGGATCCCATCAGCAGAGCAAAAGCCACCAGTCCAGGCAGCAAACATGCCTCAGATCCCCCATCAGGAGGCCCCAAGACCTGTGCTTCCAGGCCTGGTCATGAACAGTACCCAGCAGCAGCAGCAGCAGCAGATGCCATCAGCACCCAGGATAATGCCAGTGATGGCCAATGTGACTCAACCTGAGGCCAACCTCACCAGAGTGAAGAGAGCAGACCCCACCAACCCCTGTGACCCCTGCTTTGATCCCTGTGCCACCAAGGACCCCTGTGCCACTGAGAACCCGTGTTTGCCACTGTGCACCAAGGACCCATGTGCTACCACTGACCCCTGTGCCACTCCTGACCCCTGTGCCACCACCCCTGACCCATGTGCCACCCCTGACCCCTGTTTGCCCATCTGCACTGCAGACCCCTGTGCTACTACTGCTTGTTCTTGAAACTTTTCCTGATTCCATGTCACAGAAGAAGAATAAAGAGAAATATGCAAGCAAGTCTTCAATATTCAACTTTTGAAATGTGATGATTCAAAACTATAAAAAAAAGTCCTGAAGCAAGTCCTACATTGTGAAAACGTGTATACAGGTGGCGCCCCACAATTTGACCCTAACCCATTGCCAGCAGGTAAGGGTCAAATTGCAAAACAATGTCAAATTCAATGGTTGCTACATAAAATTTGACAGTTTGAGTCTTTCTGCAGGTAAAATTGCAGGGCAAAAGGTTGAATTGAAAGTCAATACCTCAGCAAATTTTACCATCCAATTACAAGATGGAAAAATTTAGGGATGTCGTATTGCAAGGTACCACCTGTATATATATATATATATACATCAAAACATAACAAAAATGCATTTTGAGTTTGGTGGGGAATTTTTTGATGGATAAGAAGCCCAACAAAAAATACAAATTAGTAAAAATAATTGACCAAATACAAAATGTGACACAAAATACTGGCTATAAAGCAGAGGCCATTTGCATTAGAGATATTTTAAAAGTTATCAAATTGACTGATCATTCCATATAAGTATACCTCAAGAAAAAATCCAAGATTCAATATTTTGTAAAAAATCAAGTTGAAAGATTGAGGAACTATCCCACATTACCTGAGCATATAAACTGAAAGAACTTTATGTAAGCAACAAAATACTGTACACTACCTAAAGTACAGATGCACCATATTGTGAATTATATTCTGAAATTCAAATATCCACCAACTTGTATTGATTTTATATTTTTATATATTTTTTAAAAGAATTATATGATTAAAAGAAAAGTCTTATATTTGAAAGAAATTAAATAATTTCTAAACTGCTGGTTCAGACTTTGTATTTGCCCCCAAAGACTCATCCAGAGTTTCTGTAAATACAATCCAGGGTCATTGAACTTGACATCTCCCCTGTTATCGCATCCTGGGTTTTGGGAAAGTTGACTCAGCATCAGGAGACGAATTATTTTGTGCGCTTCCCGCTTTCTTTTTATTTTTTGATATTTTGCAGAAATAAGCTATTCTTCCTTCATTCTGCCTTTTTCAAATTTTCAGGCTCCCAGAATTGAATGCATTTCTGTCCAGCAATCCTGATGCCCCTGATAGTCATCTTTGAGAGAGTTTGATTTCTTGACATCATCCAAGATGCATTTGAAAAATGGAAGCATTGTTTTGGGGGATCTTTTGCTATGAATGGCTCTCTTGAAGTGCTTTGCCATGAAGGAGATCCAGTCATGCTCAGGAACATTTCTTCTCTGCATTCTAGCCTGCTGTACAAAGGAAACAAACAATAATTCAAATTAAAATTCAAAAATTCGCAAACATTATCCATATATGCAATGAAGCTATGATCTGATTTCTCAGTTTATAGATCATTTATTTGGGAAAAAACTGCTGAAATGAAATGTTTATGCATGAGCATTTTGATTGCATAACTGTGCCCTTTTACATTGGGAATAACCTGATTTTTTCTGATGCTTTTTAAATAGATATTCAAGTAACATCAAACCCTGAGAACAAGGTGTACATCATCTAGAGGCTTTTTGGAGGAAAGAATGAAATCAAATTTATTTCTCAAAGTTGAATACCTATTGACAGTCGATTCAATATTAATTGCTCAAATAAGGTACAATCTAAAGCATCATATATGTCAATTGTGATTTTTGTTAGATGCTTTTTTGGAGAATAATTTGGCCAAGAATTCCTAACAATAATTTGTAAGAAAACTCCATCAGATACCAAGTCAACATGCTGTTCTCAATCAATTAAATGGTTCTGTTTAATTTATTTTTTACAAGATTATATGTGCATGCACAGTATTTTAGCACAAATGGTGTAAATGATGATGTTTGAATGACAAATGAAGCCTCTCACAGTTGGTTTCTTGTACTTCAAGGTTTCATCATCAGCTGAGTTCCATGTATTCTCATGTTGAAAAGGAACATCTTTGCAGCTTGGATCAAAGAGATTTTGACAAAATCCATTGTCCTCATTGAAACCTTTCTGAGGGGTCTCAAAGGAGTAGTCAGGAGAGTTTCTCATGTCTTCCATGGACTGCAGAAATCCAGGGGTTGGAGTTTCCAGAGAGGCCTTTTTCAGGTTATATCCCACAACCTTCCTAGTGGAAAAAAATATCAACATTACTTATCCTGAAATGTCACAGAGTGGTTGACCATGATTATTAATGTTGATGAGTCAATTGAACAAAGGTTCAACCATGTACAGAGAAGGGGGTTTGGTTGTGGAAATCTTGATTGAACCTTGTGAACGCTGAAAAGCGGCAAATAAAGTGTTCCTTTTTATTCATTCTGTTCATTCATTCATCACTGACAACAGTGTGACAGATGGCAATAATTACTTGCCACCCCTCTGAATATCTGCTTTCATTTGCAGTTCAATTTTGTATAGAATGCATCAATGCATATTTCATGAGATCTGGAACTCATGATTGCTCAAGGAATCTAAGATGTCCTCAATTCCTTGAACCTATATGTATTTAGTGACTGTGCTGTCATATGTTCCTCAGAATTAATCTAGAGTTCATAGCAATTTGTTCTCAGGAAGCTTTGCAGCAGACCCAGGAAAATCAAATTAAAAAATTCTATATAACTATTTAAAAAACGAAGTCCAAGAAATTATTATCATTGTGAAAAGAAAAAATGAAGAAATGCATGTGTCATAACAAGTTAGAATTAATGGCAAAACTTATTTCAAATGTACTTGTTGTTGAATCAATTTACTTTGCCAAAAATGTATATGCAGTATTATTTTGCATACAAAGAATTGAGTTTTTATTTTTCTCAGTTAGTATATGGACAACACTACTGTAATTATTTAGCAGGGTCTCTGTTGAAATTTTGGTTAGACCATGGCCAGGGAAAAGGTGATGATTGGCTGTCACCTTTATCTCTATAGCTAGTGTAAGTGTGTAACACCCATCACATGGATAGAAGTTGGATGGTAAAGACACTGACGGGAATGGGCTGTGGTAAGGTTGGAACTGGGGCTGATTGGGACCCATCTCCATGTCTTTCCAACCCCTGGCAGCATCCTTATTGGCATTCACCAATCTGGCAGCCTGGACCCTGTGTGAAAAATTCACTTTTTGGGTCTCTGGGCGCCTGCGTTTGGGTCTTGGGGTGGTGTCTGAGGTCCATGGTCTCCTGTCCACTGCCAGGCCATCTCTGAGACCCAAGAATGACCTCTCACGGATGGATGCCATCACTGACCTGTGTCTGTGGTCATCTGAAGCTAGAGGACTCCAAATGTACCCAATATCTTGAAATGCATGTCAAACAATACAACAATGGCTGTGGTTACAGACTCTCCTCTTGGATGCAACAGTTGGCACTTGAATATCAGAAACAATGCATTTACATCATCCAGCATATTCTTTTGTAAGTGGTATTAAAACAATTCTCATTACAGTATGTATCAAACTGAATACAGTGGCCCCCCGCCTAACAGACCTCCGGTGTAAGGGATTTTTGCCAAACAGACCAGCTCTGCAAGCAGTTTTTCCTCCCGCCCAACAGACAAAATCNACAAAATCCGCCAAACAGACTTGTTTTGGCTTAAAATTAGTGTTGAAAATTGAAATTTTTAATTTTTTATGTAATTGAATTCGTGTAAAGGACTTTTTGTCTAACAGACTCGTCTCTTGCACAAATCAAGTCTGTTAGACGGGGGTTGACTGTATATGCAGGTTTTGGTCCATGGAAACAATGTTTACCAGCTGCTGGATCAATCTTCATTATAGGGTGTAAGAACTGTATATACAGTTGTTAGCTGGACTGTTTGATAGCAGAGATTAAAAAAAGACTGTACTCTACTGTTAGTATGCTACTCTATTATTGAGCATGTTTTTTCTGCAATTTTAGGACTACAGTAGTACAGTACTGAATTTAATTTCTTGCTTGGCAACCTGCACATCTTATTCTGAAAATTTTGAATCCTTGGTTAGCATGAAAACATGCATGCAATTATATATAATTTACAATATATAGTTGTTGGTTGGTTATTTTTTCTTTCAAAGTTAAATACCATGAGTAATGTAAATATATACAAAGTATTGTGTGGGTGAAATTTGCCGCAGTTGAACTTGCCGCACTTCAACTTGCCGCACCCTAACTTGCTGCTGCTGCAACTGACCGCAGCCTGAAGTGACCGCAGTCACAAGTTGCCACTGCAACAAGTTGCCGCAATCATTTCTCACCGCAGTCAAAACTTGCAGTAGTTATAAGTTGCCACTCTTTCAACATGCTCTACTTGAAGATTAATTCAGACAGTTCTAGAAATTTTTAAAACTTAATTCACAGCAGAACATGTTTGCAAGTGAAAATAATGTACATGGAAAAAGCCTTACCATCAAAAATAAAATGCGCATCATTTAGCCACCAATAGTACTAGTTCAGGATGAAGGAAATCATTGAAGCCCCCTCTATATATTCTAAAAAATTTCAAACAGCAGAATGCCTAGTTAAGAAGTGGAAGAATGTGGGAATTTTTTTTCCCTGAAATCTTAGACAATGAAATGGCAAGTGGCTGCAATTCATATGGCAAATTGTGATAGCAGCAAGTCATTACAGTGGTGAGTTGTTGCAGCAGCAACTTCCACCTGTGTTGACTTATCACAGCGGCAAGTTAACACTGCAGCAGGTTGTGACAGCAGCAAGTTAACACTGTGGCAGGTTGGGTGTGCAGCAAGTTCAACTGCTTGCAGCAGGTTGGGTGTGCAGAAAGTTAGAAAGCGGCAAGTTTCACCAACATGACAAAGTATTCCTCAAAAGCTTTGTAAGATTATTGTAATTTGAACTGTTGAGCACTATTATGCCTCTTCAACTTTCACCAAAAGTTTGAGTCAAATTTTCAAGAACTTCAAAATTTTTTGCTGGGGTGAAATTTGTACTTTGAAGCATAATCAATATTCAATGGAATGCATCAAATTCAGGAATCGAATAAGGTATATGAAGAGCTATAAAACACTGTGAAATGTTAACTGATTCATTTTAAATTTTAAACCAGACATGCACACAGTTCACTATAGCTGCTGGAAGGACACTCACCATGGCATTGCAATTCAGCCACCAGACATAATCCCAACCATGTTAAAATAGTCTTCATGAATCCTGCCGCAGACAAAGAGGAATTCTCAGGCAGGAGGGCTCATAGAAACGCTTTACAAACACAGGACTTATTGCTTCTATTCCTATATCTCCCAAAGTTTGAGTGTCTGGCTCCAGCTTCTCAAGGGTGCAGAAACATTATAAAAAAAGGATCTCAAACTCCCCCTAAAATATAAACAGCACTTCTCCATTCATCTGTGTGTTCCTGGTTTCTCCTTCTATGTACCCATCTTCATTTAGCAAAGTCTGTGAAACTTGTGAGTCATCTTGATAAGTTTGTTGGTTCACTCAAATGAAGTGGGGGATTCAAGGTCCTTGTCCAAGTCAGGATTCTCAGGCCCTTGATGAGTATTGGCATCTGCCATGAGTTCTATCAAATGCAGCAGTTTCACCATATCTGCCATAAAGTCATCAGTATCTGGATTTGGTTGGCTTTCAGAAAAGTGTGTGAGCTTCTCTTGGTTTTTCTTCACTAGCCTCTCAAGCTCCTGAACCTCAAATTCAATGTGGTTTATATCTTCAGTTTCCTTCTGAGCAATTCTCTGGAAAGGTGGCTGTATGAGGGGCAGGTTGAAAGTGGGGTCAACTTTGGGGCTGATGATTGGGTGAAAGAAGTCATGTGACCCCAGGACCCCAGGTGGCAGGAAAGATATTATTTGCCTCCTTGGGCGACCTTCCATGTATGATTGTGGTGCCTGGGTTCCATCTCCCTTCTGTGTGGGTTGTTGGTTGGTGGTGGAAGGAAGGAACATGTCCAGTTCAGACATTGTTGGTATCAGGGTGTCCAGCAGAATCTTCCTTGCAGCCTTCCTCCAGATTTTATCCTTCCCTGAAGGAGTAACACACATTAAAAATGGTACATGGGTGAAAGAGAGACTGAATTATACCAAAATCCTGGGTTGGTGAGGACTGAGAAAACAGAGCAGCAAATAGGACACATGCTCTGAGAGCAGTTGAGGCTCTCATCACCAAAACACAACAACAAAGGCACTTCAGGCACAAGATGCATGTATTTTCCTGCTTCACACCCAGGCAAGATGAAAAGAAAAGACACAGTTTCCCCAGGCTATGAGACTCTCTCATGGAAATGCACTCATTGTAGGGCTCACAAGCAAAAAAAAAGGAAAAAAGATTTTCTGAGTTGGTTGTTGGGGAGTGTCTGAGTTTAGTCTTGTTGTCCCAAGTGGCAGGAAGTTTGACTTGATTCCCATATCCTTCCTCCACTAAACTCATTCTTGTTTATTGCCACACCTGCAAGACACTATTCTGCTCAGCTCATCAATTTTGGCAGCTTTGGCTAACTGGAGGTCATCATCATGCTCTGACACTTGCCAGAATCCCACTGACCGCTTTCCAGATGACTTTGACTGTGCTTTGCTGCTCACTTCTGGAGCCCTGGCAAAGTAAGCAGAATTTCCAAAACATCCTTCTACAACCATAGCAATGAACATCCCCTGCAGACCATCAGGTTTTCTTTTTTCAATATCAAAAATGACACTGCGGGGAATTATTAGCTACATGCTGGCACTCAGTATTTCCAAATAATAGAAGCTTGAAAATAAGAGAGGCTTCAGTATGGCATGTTGAAAATGCTTTGGTCTTTTAGATGAGGAACAGCTATAGGGATTAAGTAGACATTCAAATCTGGAAAGTTTTGACTCATAATGGTTCAATTAGATTTTCTTTAACATGGAACATCAGCATCATTATGACTATGCATTGTGCCTGTTTGTTTGGTGAAATTCCTAACAAAAACTTCACATTATGTATTATTGTAAAGGAATGAATGATCGGCTGTGGAAATCTTGATTGAACCTTGTGAACGCTGAAAAGCGGCAAATAAAGTGTTCTGTTCATTCATTCATGTAAAGGTGCTGCACAATGCTGTGGATTCTTTGTGTTGGTGTAATGATTTCTTCCATGATGAGGTACAGTAATTTCAGAAAATGTGTATTTTTTTCCAATTTGCATTTTAGAATCTTATTTTTCACCTGGTGGTGTGAATAGAGTTGTACTTTTTGTAGGCTGCAGCAGCTTCAACAGCTTTCAGGTGCTCTCTGGCTTCAGCAGCTTCTGCAGCAGCAAGTCTTTTCCTGGCTAAAATGATCTTCAGTTCAGCCAGTGAAACTGTGGTCAGCTGTGCATCACTTGGAGTAGTGGACCTCTGCTGATTATTGAGCACTGGGTGCACAGTGTTGAGATTGTCTTCTTGAGGTATCATGGTTTGGTACCTTGGTCTGCTTTGCTGCTGATGCCCAAATACCAACTGGGGAATGAAGCTTTTTCCACTTCCATTATTCTTCAAACTACTGTGCATACAATCATGGATTATTTATCAGATTTTGCTAGCTTTGAATTACCCTTCAATAGAAACTGAATGCATTGAAAATAACATGGAGATTGCATAAAGGGGAAAACTATCCTCAATTTTAAAAAGCTGTCAAACCTAACAATACTATGTATCATTATTCATTAAATGGTCATTTTTGTTTCAGAAGATGAACAAAACTCTAAACTATAATGTACAGTCAACCCCTGAACAACAGACCTGCTAATTTTTGCAACAGACTTTAGTCTTGAAATTTTTACTTTATGCTATTACTTTAAACCAACATAAGTCTGTTATGCAGATTTATTCCATTTTGTGGTAGGGAAAACTGCCTCCAGAAGCAGTCCATTGTTCAAAAATCTATCGCGCAAAAGGTCCGTTCTGTGGGGGTTGACTATATATCTCATCTATACAGCTGCTGTAATAATTCAACCCTACCCCTGAGTTATTCATGGTTATATTTCAATTAATCACAATAGAACCAGCCTAAAAATGCATGTTGCTGTGGGAAATTGTGAAAAGTACCTGACGGTTTTGGAGAGGAGGTGCCCTGAATCTTCCTTCAGCAATGGCATGAGTGACATGTTTGACAGGTGAGAGATTCAACTTGTTGTCCATGGATTGATTGGTGTCTTCCTGCTGAAGACTCTTAGTGGTGGGCTCTGTGTTGCTGGTAGAGCCTGATTCTTGAGAAGCCATTTCCTTCACCTCCAGGATCCCATCAATTGAGATCTCCTTCTCAGTTGTGTCACTCAACTTTCCTTGTCCACTGTACTTGTCCATGGTCACCTTCATATGATCTGAAAGGTTCTTCTTCAGTTCCTTCATCATCACATTATCTTCAATCTCAGATCTTGAATTGTGTATATTGAGCTGAGAATATGGACCTATTTCTGGGGTTTTGCTGGACTCCAGTTTGTGCAGCTCCTCCCTCAGCACTGGGATGTCATCAGCAAGGATTGCATTCACCAACCTTGAGCTTTCCTGGAGGGACTCATGAATAAGGTCTCCTGCTTGACAAGAAAACATAAGCAGTTTATAGCATACAAAGTCTTGATAACTAAACCTGGCTATACCTTTCCTTGCAGGAGGCATGTTGAGGATTTGTGGCTGAGTTTGCTTGTTTGGCCTGGGTCCAGGGAACAGTACATGTGGTACCTCCTTGTGTACAACACTTGGGGGATTGTTGAAAGGGTTCCCTGAGGTCTCATAGAGGCTCTGGATCACCTCTGGCTGCCTTTGCCTTCTGCACAAGCAATGAAAAACTAATCAAGTCACACACAAATTCAACTTTTCAGGGTTTCATCAAGTACATATTGTTCAATTTGTATTTGCCAATGAACCATATGTGAAGTTCCAAATTTCTTTATTCATATTTTGGTCAGCATCTGCCTTTGAATGCTCATGAACTGTGTGAGTCTTTGGGCATCTGAATGCTGATACATCTCATTTTGTGTCATATTCCAGTCCTGTGGGAACATGACCAAATCAGATGCACCCAGTTTGCATCAACAATAACACTTGCATTCAGGATGTATGTGTTGCAAAAGAACATCATGCTGGCACAAAATAGAATGGTACTTTATGCACATCTTCTGATGTGCAACCAATATTTGCATTCAGATTTCCATGGGAAGGCATCACTGCAGTTGCTAAAGGAAATCTAATTGAACCTCTATGAGTCAATACTTTCCAGATTTGCATGTCTACTTAATTCCTATAGCTGTTCCTCTAAAGGCCAAAGCATTTACAACATTCCATACTATAAAACCTATCTCATTTTCAAGCTTCTATTACCTTTATACTATCAAACTGCTGGGACTTGATTTTATAATACATTTGACCCCTGCACAACAGACCTCCCGCATAATGGACTTTCTTACAACAGACCACCTTTGGAGGCAGTTTTCCCTCCCCTGTAACAGACTAAATCCTCATAACAGACTTCTGTTGGTTTAAGATTAACCGTGAAAAGTGAAATTTTCAATTTTTTAATAGTTCAATTTGCATAACAGACTTTCCACACAACAAACTAGTCTCTTGCACAAATCAAGTCTGTTGTGCAGGGGTTGACTGTCCCTGTTACCAATAAAAAGGATTCAAATCATCATCTTGATGTTTTTCAAAAGGATAATAAATAATCTTATTGCACAGAAAAGGCATGTTTTGTATGATGATTGTTTTTGATAGTTGGGGAATAACATAATTTTCCTCATGAACTTCTAAAAATCAGGCAATTTTTCATAAGCAAAAACTGAGTAAGTTCAAAATGATTGGAATCCCTTAAAATGTGAGTGAAAGAGGTTCAACTGTGCATGGGAAAAGAGTGAGTCAGTGTCAAAGAGCATTTGATATGAACCTTCTGGCATTCCATGGGGACATGAGGTCCATATCAGTGAACCTGGGTACCCTGGGACTTGTTTTGAACCTTCTGCACTTGTGGCACTTGTCAGGCCATTTTGCTGAAATTTGAACTGTTTTTTTTTTGGGAAATATTTATGAAAATGTCAGAGAGTCTTTTGATTGGCTGAGTGTTGAGCAAAACCTGCCTGCAGTTGCAACAGTGGAGCCCAAGATCAGGAGGAGCAGAAATTTTAGCATATTTTCCAGCCTGTATCAGAGCATCATCTGCGCTAAATTTAGCAGCAAAAAAAAAAAAACACAGAAAGGGGAAGAGAATGAGGAGATAAAAATGTGTGCTCAAGTGCCAGTGGTGGGAAAACCTGGCAAATTCGCACAATTCAATCACAGACCTCTGTTTCTTCCCACACTCCCTTTCACTTTATTAATCCTCTGGAAAACCAAAACAAAAAATAAAACCAAGTATAGTCATTTTCTGAGGCAATTAACACTGTCTTTTCACTGTTGCCAGCACTATTGGTACCAAAGTCTGCAAGCCAACTGCTGCTGACTGCTAACAAGAACAAAGCGGATTAGGGAAAAGCAAGGAGAGAAAGGGCAAATAGCCCTTTTTCAGGCCAGCTTATGGGAAAGTTCTCAGGACCCCAAAGATGGCCGCCTCATTCCAATTCGCCTCAGCTTTGCTTTCAGATCATGTGCCACCAGACCACTCCTTTTTTGCTCCAGGAACTGTTTGACCTTTTGCCTCCTTTCCCAGGTCAGGTCCAGAAGCTTCTTGTAGTTGGTGGGCTTCTGGATGTGGCCTGACTTGTGCTGCCATCTGGGCACTAGCTCATGCCCTTTATTGGTGTCAGAAGCCAACAGGGGTTCTCTTGCATGATGTGAATCTTGGTTTTTGGCTGAGTTGGCTGCAATAACCAAGTGCACTGAAATTTCCAAAACCATGATCATATGATCAGGAAAATATATACCGTATTTAATCAAGTACCACGCGCCCTCAAGTAAGGAATGCATGCACAGGGTTTTTTCAGTTGGAAATTTGGCTAAAATCTTATACCCGAGTAAGACAAGCACCCCAATTTTTAGTGAATCTAAAACCAATAAAGTTCAAAAATGAAAACAAAAAATTGAATTTAGGCATGAATTGAACAAGAATCTGATCAATTTTTAACTGTTCCAGTGCAAAAAAGTTTTATTGTTACATTTGTTCAAAATTTCTCTCTTATAATTGAGTATAAAGCACACATAACTTCCTAAAACTTCTTGAAAAATTTGTACCCGCTTATGACGGGCACCCCTTTTTTTCTTCTGAAATTTGAGAAAAAAGGTGCACGTGGTACTTGAGTAAATACGGTGGTAGTTGGTTGCTCAAAAAGAATAAACTACTCACAAGTGATGAACCAGAAGATTATTGCTGGCAGCTGCATTTGAAACTCACACAGACTAGGGTTTCAGGGAAAATGATGCTATAGGAATTGAGAAGCTGATGAGTATTGAGTGGTGGAGATTTCATTGTTTGATTTAGCTGAGACATGATGAGAGAGTAACTTTTCTTTCATTCTGTGTTTGTCAGAGTCTGGCTTTTTTTCTTTGTTTCCTTCATCTGCGAGGTCTTGAACCGGTCTTGGAAGTCTTTTTAAAGCGCTTCTCATGCTGGAATTCAAGCATGGAATTCTGAGCTTCTTGCATCCTGGTTAAAGCTCCTTGGGCTCTTGTATTGGCCACTCTTGCAGCCAGCTGGGAAACATTAAAATTGGAATCATCAAAAAAACTTTTATTTCAATGTGGAAAATCATCCTGTAAAAGTAAAGTCTTGATACTGAGAATTTATTCCACTCAGAATTTCATGGCAATTTGTGAAACTTTCCAAAAATGAATGAATGAATGAACAGAAAACTTTATTTGCCGCTTTTCAGCGTTCACAAGGTACAACCAAAACTCCCGCATCCAAACCCCCTCCAAAAATGAAGTACATTTGGAATTCAGAATAATATTATGGACTATTTTCAATAAAGAAACATCAAGCATTGTTAGTCACTGAGAAAGCTTAATTGAATACATCTCAAACCAGCTTATACATGATTCATAAAATGTTAGAAAGGCAACTTGAATTATTTAAAGTCAGGGAATGTCATTAGATGATTTTTCTTTTAAATTAAAAAAATGGTTGTTTGGATGAGTTTGGCAAACCTTCTTGAAATTTGAATATACTTCACTGAGTGTCTGAGAAATGGTTTGTGATAGTGTCAGTATTACCAGTGAAGCAGAAAATAAAAATACCAGTTTCCATATCATTATTATTTTTTTATTGAATGCGCACCTTTTTGAAGGCTTCTTGAAGCATTGTCTGCTGCCTCCTCCTGACATGTGAGTAAGCATTGAGTTGCCTTTGAGCCACAATGAGAGACCTCTTACCAGCTCTGGCCCCCATCTGCACAGTGATCTCTTTCAGCCTATGCATCATGCCCAGAATGTTGCCCTGCTTTTTCTCCAGCTCCTCAAGCAAGGAGTCATCTACAGGAGGCGACCTCTGTGCTTCAGCATCAGCAAAGGTCAACAGGTCCAACAAAACCTTTTGCTGGTGACACAGTTCTTCAAGCAACCTCATTTGTTCTTGCTCAAGTGCTGGGTGGTCTGCAGGCTTGGTCACCTTGGGTACCACAGATGTTTTTTGCTTGTCAAAATAGGCATAGAACCCTGCTGGTGTCCTTTTAGTTGGAATGCTGTGATTCACTTCTGCTGATGGGCTTCTTTTGCCACGTTTTTTTCTTGACATTTTGTGCTTATTGATTTGCATGTCCTCAAGTAGCTGAAGAGCTTGTTGGAATTCTGAATCTTCCTCCAAGATTTGCTGCAATATACTCTCTTTTTCTCTGATGTCCTCTTTGGAACAGATATACCCATTAATATACCCCTTCTTCTATGGTACTAACAGACCAGAATAAACATATTTATATTACTTTAATACTTTAGGTTAACAACAGAAAATGACACATGGTACTCATTACTACACTATTTTGCTCAAGGCACTATATGTTCATGATGGTGTAATGGAACAAGTGTCTATTGGTGCCAAAATGGCATTCTAAATAAAATATAAATTCAAAAATGTCTGGAAAGCCTGGAAACCTCACAAAGACTGTTTCTCACTTCTTTCACATAAAGCCCAAAAAAGATTCCTTATTAAAACCCATTGTAGAATTATATTTAATTTATCTGTATAAAGCACACGACATTTTATGTTTCAAAACATTGAAGAATAGAAGATGAACAAGGGACAAAAGTGCAGTTCCTGCCATATGTGAACTGATGGTATAGCCAGATTTTGTGTCATTTACTATAAATGAAATTTCAAGATTCTATGATGAAGAATGTTCAGAAAATATTGTTCTCTGACATTTTCACCCCATTCTGTATGACATGGAACAAATAAAAAGTGAGTGGCTTATGCTATTGGTGCATTCTATTATACTATGAAAATAGAAAAAGGTGTCTTCAAAATGTTGTTGATGCTTTTAAAATTGTCTATATGGGTAATTATATGGGGAAGAAGATACCATGATTGTCTGGTCTTATTTGTATAAATATAATGAAATTATGAAATCCAATTGTTGTCTTTTACTGTGTACCATGAGTAATGATGTGATACTTGCTCAAGGCACTATATGTTCATGGTGTAATAAAAAAGTGTCTATAATGGTGCCAAAATGGCATTCTAAATAAAATTTTAATTCTTAAATTTCTGAAAAGCCTGGAAACCTCACAAAGACTGTTTCTCACTTCTTTCACATAAAGCCCAAAAAATATTCCGCTCTAAAACCCATTATAGAATTATATTTACTTTATCTGTATATAAAGCACACCACCTTTTATCTTTCAACACATTATAAAGAAAGAAGATTAATAAGGGACAAAAATGCAGTTCCTGCCATATGTGAACTGATGGTATAGCCAGATTTTGTTTCATTTACTATAAATGAAATTTTAAGATTCTATGATGAAAAATGTTCAGAATATATTGTTCTTACTGTAAAAGTGGGGTAAGACATACTGTACCTTGTTTATTTTTCACTCACCGAATACGATAACCACGTAAGATAATATGATACTTTTATCTTTTTCCACAGAAGTTTTACAACAACTACGAAAATTTTGACCAAAAGCTTATTTATAAATTTGAAAATCATTCTGTGGAGTTTTAAGAACTTCATTTGGATGAAATCTCATATAGAAAGCCTCCAAAATAACAATAAATTTATCCTGCACTTTGTCAAAGAAAAACATTGGTATTCATTGAAAGTGCAAATTGTGACACTGATCGTGCTGAACGTGCTTTTGGGATAAAATCAGAAAATTTGCATTCCTTATGGTTTTTCCTGGGAAAAAATGCCTAAGGTTCTGTTCAAATGCTGTATTTTAGAGCTATTCAGTTTACTGTGACTGTCATGAAAATTTTTTTTTTACTTGTGATTAAAGCTTTTCATCTTAAAACTTTCACCAAGTAAAATTCAATGATGATCTTGCTGTATATATATGTTGCTGTACCTGCTGGATAGTAGAAGCTGGTTTAGAAGTCCACCTGTTGGGCACCAGAGGGCGCACCTGGCGCCTTGGTACCCTAGTAAGAAATACAGATGAAGGTGTGGTTCTGGACTGCAACATGCTCTTGATTTCCAAAGCAACTATACTGTCTTCCAAGGATACAGCCCCCTTTTGCTTGCACCTCTTGAGGTCAATCTGCTGGGCAACTTCATTCAGCAGCTGTTTTTGAAATGCAGGGGATTTCAAAAGTGCCACAGCCTGTTCAGGGTACATTCCAGACTGAATCTTGGCTGAATGATGATGATGCTGATGGTTGTGTCTTCTGGCCTTTTCCTCAGGAGGGAGTGGTTCTGAAATGGATGCCAGTTTTGAGTTGTACATGGGCTTGAGGTCAGTCATGTTGTCAACTTTGGGTGGTCTATGTCTTTGGTACACTGAGTAGTCCTCCAGGTCCAGAGCATGGTCATCCAGCTTCTTCACAGGGGCCCTGGATGTCTGCAGCAGTTGCTTGATCTGCCAGAAAAGAAAATAAAAGAATTCCCAGAAGCAACATCATGGTCTTTTGGGACCTTGGGAAGGCTGTTGGTGACTGACTTGAGAATTTGACATTTCACCAGGACTCAGGGACCCTGTCATGGACCTGTGCTCCAGCTTCTCCACCATGGACTTGATGTCATTGTCCAGAAAGTAGGTCTGGTTGTGGATCTCAGCAGCTTCTGCAGGGGTCAGTGAGTCATCAGTCAGCTTCTGTCTCAGCTCAATCTCCTCTCTGAGTTGCTCCAGGAGAATCTCCAGCAGTTTTCCCCTGTGCTGCTTCTCCAAGTGCACCAAGTAAGCAGGGGTCCTGGAGGAGTCCTCAGCTGGGGATGTCATGATCACTTCTTGTAGCTGTAGCTGATCTTGTCTTTTCTGTCTGGTAGTGGCTGTGAAATATAGTATATTGAAAAGGGTGTACATATATGAATTGTGTTGAGCTTCAAAACATTATGTGTGCAATGAGTGTGAGAAGGTTTCTGGTGTTTTTCAGATTTGGTATGAATGGGAAGATTTTCTTGGGGGTATTCTGCACATGTCTCTGGGTTCTCAAGAGTGGTCTGTTACTGAAGAACCCAGGGTCCCCTGGGGTGTTGCTGTTGAGGAAGCTGCTCTGACTCAGGATGTCATTGACAAAGGGTCTGATGAACTGGTCCATGTTTTGCTGAGTCATCAATCTGGGATCCTGCAGCAGCGCCCTCTGGTCTAACCAGGAAGTCTGTTGATTAGTGGCAGGTGGCAACATTTGGTCTGTTTCACAAGCTTCCTGTTGTTCATGGGCTGTGGCCATCAGCTGGGTCTTGTAGGCCAAGTTTCTCTTCTTTTCTGTCAGTTCCCTGAACTGGTGCCTCAAATAGGCCAGTTCCTTGTCCAGGATGGACTTTTCACTGTCTAGCTTCCTGAGGGTGTTCATCAAAAGGATTTGTTTCTCTTCTTCAGCTTGTACCACAGACTGGGCATTTTGCCATCCACCAGTCTCTGCTAGTTGTCTTCTGTAGTGGTCTTGTTCTGCTTGGAAGGTTTGCACGGTCAACTGCTTGGTGTGCTCCAAGTCCTTGGTGCCTTTCTCCAGGACTGGTATGCGTTTGTTGAGGGATTCCAGCTCATCCCTGATCCTTTTTCTTTCATAGAGGTACCTGAGGATTGTCACCAGCTCTCTTTGGATGTCCACAATCTCCTTGACCTTGGGAGTAAAAATGATTGAACATTAGAATTTGAACCATGAATTCCAGGGTTTATTTATTTTTTAATAGTTTCTCAAACCTTCAAGGTCATTCTTATTTTCAAAATGTGAGACATGATGCAATGCAAAGATGGTAAAGCTACAAACTTAATCCAGGTGGTACTGTGCAATTCAACCTCCCACAATTTGACCGTTCTGCAATTCAACGGTCAAATTTTCATGGAGGTTGACTTGCATTTTGACCCTTGCCCTGCAATTAAACCTGCTTTGGCCACTTTTTTGCATTTTTGTGCGGATATTTTTTGAATTTCACAAACTGTCTCACAATTTGAACATACTCCACTGCCAAACTAGTGTCAAATTCCAAAGTGGTAAAATTGTGAGACACGTTGTGAAATTCAAAAATATTATTACAAAAATTCAAAAAAGTGGCAAAAGCAGGTTGAATTGCAGGGCAAGGGTCAAAATGCAAGTCAAAATGACCCTAATCCACTGCCAAACTAGGGTCAAATTGTGAGGTACTGCCTATATATTCAGAAATTGTGTTTCTTCCTGTCTGTTTTACTGTTCATCAGTTCTTACAAAGGTGTGCTAAATCTGCTTGTATCAAAAATCTTTCTGGCATGATTATTTTCTTTTGGAACTAATTAATAAACTTTGAGAGAAGATGGTTGTCTCTTCTGAGTTGTTGCTTTCATTTTTAAAAAATAAAATTTAAAAGTAGGAAAATTACAGTTTTGCTTCAGAATAGAAATTGTAAATCCATTTATCCTTTTCTACTTTGAAATTTGGACAAAGGCAATTAAAAATCAATCCTAGTATAACCATCAACATAATTAGACAGATTTGGAATAATTTTCAGATCACTGAAGTTGAGAGGTGGAATTTTTGTATGAAAATTTGGACTCCTCATGGAATGCAAAAAATTATTATGACAAAAGTGAGGATACATGATTTTTTTTCGAAAGAAGAAGTTTTTGAGTCAAACTAAGATTCATTCAATGCAATTACTCCAGAGTTTTACTCTTCATTTCCAAAATTCATATGGGAAGTGCACTTTAAAGAATATTTATTCTGGGTTTCTTACAATCAAGAATGGGAGTGAAATTTCAGTGTGACACAAAACAGAATATTTATTATGCTAATTTCAAGGGCTTTTGCCCCCAATAAAGCCAAGATTAGTTGGCCAGTAAGTCAGGAAAATGAAACTTATTGGAAAAATTCCCAAAACTGTAATAAATAACTATGCACATCACTGTTTGTATTCTTCAATTAAATTCAAAATTACTGAAAGAATTAATTTTTGAAAGATCAAGAAGGATTGAGGAACCCTGTGGACTTGCAAAAAAGGACATTGAACCTTGTGTGGAGCCAAGGAATTATGCTTCTCAGCCAGATGGACCACATAGTTGAGAATCTGTTGCTTCTCTCTCAGCTCCAATTGGGCCTCTTCAAGTTCCCTCAGGGCCTTGTCCCTGTCCTCACTTGATATCTGCAGTTGACTCAGAAGTTGAAAACGCTGTTCTTGAGCAGCCTGTTGCACTTGAATGCGGTTATTCAGGTCCCTAAAGAGGTACTCTGGAGCAGGAGCGACCTCTGGTTGTTCCAGGAGTTGCTGCTTGAGTTTGGACACTGGCACCTGGGTATGGTGCTGAAGGCGGTCGCTGCGGAACCCTCTTGGGGGCAGCATTTTTATGGAGCCTGGGATGGGGCCTAGGAACTGGTTGGTGAGTTCCCCTGCCTGATCATTCCAATCTGTTTGCAGCAGGGGGGTATTTTTTTGGGATTGCTTCTCTTTTCTTTTCAAAATAAAAACATGCATAATTATTGTTGAAATGCTCTTCTCCACCTACTATTCTCTGCTTTTCAGCCCTGTATCAGCTTGTTTTGCAAAATTGTTTGAGAGGCAAAAAAAGTATTCCTGTTTTTAAACTTTAGCTCTTTTATTTGTTTAGAAAAACAAATTGCAATGTGTGATGGTTATTTGACACTATATAGCCTTAAAAAGTGTTCTGAAATTGAAGGATTCAGGGCCAGAAATGTTCAAAAAAATCTGCCATATTTTTTTTGGGGAGATGAAATTATAATTTTGTGATTTCATACAGATTTTTAACCATAGAAGCATGTAGATGTTGCTTGAAATAAATGCAACATTGGTCCATCTGTGAGCAAGTATTATACATATGGTCTTTTCAAGTTGCTCATTGAAAAGTAGCCTGGCCTCAATTGAATATATTTATCAATTGTTGCAATTGAATCAAGATATCCAGGAATTTTTTTGGCATATAAAATTGCCTTTTTATGGTATTGGAATTAATTTATTTGTGCTTTTTGCAAAGCAATTGTTGTTTTAATCAGATATATGCCATTGCTCAATTTGCAGGGAACTGGTTGTTTGATTTTATATCTTTGTGGAATTTGCTATTTCTTGAGGGAAGTTGCTTTGATGAATTTTGCATTGCAAGATGATGAAACATATTCAGTCTCACTAATAATGACACAGAGGCACATTGTTCCTTATTCCTCTCAATGAAAACTAGGACTGAAGTCTCCAAAGAGAAATTTTAACATATATATTGCCCACAAGCCGCTTAAATGCTCTCAAACTTTGTTTCCCCTCAAATTTTTAAATGAGTGCTATTTAAGAGTAAAAATAAGCTACAAGTAGAGGCAAAGATATAGCTATAGAAAAATGTACAGTATGTTCAGAGGAATTATTTAAGGAAGACCTGAAGAACTCTTGTCTAATGTAACTCCTATTCTTCTTTATTTATTTTTAAGAAATTACTGTGTTTCTTTGAATCAAAAATCACCAAAAAAGAATGAAAAAATCGATTTGCATCTTTTTTAGGAAATTTCTTCCAATGATCAGAAACTGAATGTGTCAGAAGCTGACTGAAAATATTTTAGAAAACAATGCAGACACAATGGGTTTTCAAATCTTGGCAGCATACATTCTCTCTTCTATTATTTTACTGCTGGGCTTATTGTATAATTTCACTGTTTTTATTGTTTGACATTAGTTTTAGATATAAAGTGTTTTTCTGAAATTATATTTTAAAAATTTAATTTAAATGTGCTACACCCTGTAGATTCAAACAGTGGAAAGAAATGATCAGGAAATAGGGGCTTGAAAAGTTTTTTAAAATTTGCTTACATTGGTGTATATTCAATGAAGTATTTTCGAGATTCTCCCATAAACAATTGTTCCATCCCCAAGTTTTACAATATTGAAAAGAATATACCACCTGTAATAATTCAGACTTGGAGAAGAAATGAATATTCTCCCTGCAGATTTCATTGCTTTTAATTCTTTAAGGACTTTGTTCAAAGAAGAATGGACTCCACTCCCATTTTGCTAATATTGTTACATCATGAGGACACACCCATGTGAAGAAATGGCTGGGTTGAGATGATTGAAAAAACTCAGGGCTCAAACATTTGATCTTAGATTTTGTTGGTACGTGGACTCAATATTTTTTCAGTGATGCATTTATTTTGAAGAAATTGTTCATTTTTGATTTTGTTAAATCTGCATCTATTTTTTGAGGAGCTGTTCTGAGGTAATTATATCTAGTTGTACATTGACTGATGGACTAAATGGTTTTTATTAATTTTTTCTTCAGAGATTCGGTTCCACTTTGATTATTGCTTCTAAAATTATACTTGGAATTTTTAAACCTTGTATAGTTTCAAGTTTTGAGAGATGATGCTTCAAAACAGGGAATTCAAAATGGATTTTTCACTTATTCCAGGTTCAATAAAATTCTCAGATGATGATTAAATTCAAGAAAAATGGGCTCCATTATGAAATTTTTGAATATGTCCCTTTAATGAGTCAAGTCCTGTAAAATAAAATCTTGCTGGGAAAGGGATAATCAGAAATTAAAATGTTCAAAATTATGATCCTAATTATTTTGTGCATGCCATCATGCTTTCCAATACTTAATTTTGTTCAGAAAGAACGTGATGTATACCATCAAAATTTCAACATTGAATTTTTAGAGGATACACCCTGTATAAGGCCATTATTGGGATGAGGTGAAAAAAAATTATCTTTTGGAATTCAACGGTTAATTTTGGATGAATTTAGTTCAGAAAAAAATGTAAACCCCCTAATGGAATTCCTTAATTTTTTCATAATATCATTCACGTCTGAAAAATTGGAGTTCCTAAGCTGCCAAATATTTCCTTTCAAAAAAGGTGGATGCACCCGGTAAAAAATTTTGGTATGAGGTAATCTTGCGAAACCCAAGGGGTTTACAATTATTTTTATCAAGTGTATTTTCTAAAATTAATTGTTTTCTTGAGATGGATTCAGTGCTGCACAAAGGTTTGTTTCCATATGCTTATTTTTATATTTATATACAATTTTAGGTGATGCCCTGTTATTTGAATGTATTGAAAGGAATACATCATGAATGAATTTTCATCATTAGTGGAATCATCTTTATCTTTTTTTATTCTTGAAAAAAAACTAGCATCATAATATGTCAAATATATTTTCCATAAGTGTTTATTTCTAAATTAACATTTTATAAATTATGTGCCTTTAATTTAAAACTAATTTGAAGGGCATGCATCATCAGCAGTGAGACTCTTTGACTTTTTCTTCATAAATTTAATTCACAAACAAAGCATCAGGCTCATTTTTCAAATATATTTGTTCATAAAGCTTTTGGACTATATATATATTTTATAAGTCCCACCCTGTANGGCATATAAAATTGCCTTTTTATGGTATTGGAATTAATTTATTTGTGCTTTTTGCAAAGCAATTGTTGTTTTAATCAGATATATGCCATTGCTCAATTTGCAGGGAACTGGTTGTTTGATTTTATATGTATGTGGAATTTGCTATTTCTTGAGGGAAGTTGCATTGATGAATTTTGCATTGCAAGATGATGAAACATATTCAGTCTCACTAATAATGACACAGAGGCACATTGTTCCTTATTCCTCTCAATGAAAACTAGGACTGAAGTCTCCAAAGAGAACTTTTAACATATATTGCCCGCAAGCCACGTAAATGCTCTCAAACTTTGTTTCCCTTCAAATTTTTAAATGAATGCTAATTAAGAGTAAAAAAAGCTACAAGTAGAGGCAAAGATATAGCTAGAAAAATGTACAGTATGTTCAGAGGAATTATTTAAGGAAGACCTGAAGAACTCTTGTCTAATGTAACTCCTATTCTTCTTTATTTATTTTTGAGAAATTACTGTGTTTCTTTGAATCAAAAATCACCAAAAAAGAATGCAAAAATTGATTTGCATATTTTTTAGGAATTTTCTTCCAATGATCAGAAACTGAATGTGTCAGAAGCTGACTAAAAATCTTTTAGAAAACAATGCAGACACAATGGGTTTTAAAATCTTGGCAGCATACATTCTCTCTTCTATTATTTTACTGTTGGGCTTATTGTATAATTTCACTGTTTTTATTGTTTGACTTATTAGTTTAGATATAAAGTGTTTTTCTGAAATTATATTTTAAAAATTTAATTTAAATGTGCTACACCCTGTAGATTCAAACCGTGGAAAGAAATGATCAGGAAATAGGGGCTTGAAAAGTTTTTTAAAATTTGCTTACATTATGGTGTATATTCAATGAAGTATTTTTGAGATTCTCCCATAAACAATTGTTTCATCCCCAATTTTTATATTATTGAAGAGGATATACCACCTGTAATACTTCAGACTTGGAGAAGAAATGAATATTCTCCCTGCAGATTTCATTGCTTTTAATTCTTTAAGGACTTTGTTCAAAGAAGAATGGACTCCACTCCCATTTTGCTAATATTGTTACATCATGAGGACACACCCATGTGAAGAAATGGCTGGGTTGAGATGATTGAAAAAACTCAGGGCTCAAACATTTGATCTTAGATTTTGTTGGTGGACTCAATATTTTTTCAGTGATGCATTTATTTTGAAGAAATTGTTCATTTTTGATTTTGTTAAATCTGCATACATTTTTTGAGGAGCTGTTCTGAGGTAATTATATCTAGTTGTACATTGACTGATGGACTAAATGGTTTTTATTAATTTTTTCTTCAGAGATTCGGTTCCACTTTGATTATTGCTTCTAAAATTATATTTGGAATTTTTAAACCTTGTATAGTTTCAAGTTTTGAGAGAGGATGCTTCAAAACAGGGAATTCAAAATTGATTTTTCACTTATTCTAGGTTCAATAAAATTCTCAGATGATGATTAAATTCAAGAAAAATGGGCTCCATTATGAATTTTTGAATATGTCCCTTTATATAATGAGTTAAGTCCTGTAAAATAAAATCTTGCTGGGAAAGGGATAATCAGAAATTTAAAATTTCAAAATTTTGATCCTAATTATTTTGTGCATGCCATCATGCTTTCCAATACAGTACTTAATTTTGTTCAGAAAGAACGTGATGTATACCATCAAAATTTCAAAATTGAATTTTTAGAGGATACACCCTGTATAAGGCCGTTATTGGGATGAGGTGAAAAAAAATTATCTTTCGGAATTCAACGGTTGATTTTGGATGAATTTAGTTCAGAAAAAAATGTAAACCCCCTAATGGAATTCCTTAATTTTTTCATAATTTCATTCACGTCTGAAAAATTGAACTTCCTCAGCTGCCAAATATTTCCTTTCAGAAAAGGTGGATGCACCCGGTAAAAAATTTTGGTATGAGGTAATCTTGCGAAACCCAAGGGGTTTACAATTATTTTTATCAAGTGTATTTTCTAAAATTAATTGTTTTCTTGAGATGGATTCAGTGCTGCACAAAGGTTTGTTTCCATATGCTTATTTTTATATGTATATACAATTTTAGGTGATGCCCTGTTATTTGAATGTATTGAAAGGAATACATCATGAATGAATTTTCATCATCAGTGGAATCATCTTTATCTTTTTTTATTCTTGAAAAAAAACTAGCATCATAATATGTCAAATATATTTTCCATAAGTGTTTGTTTCTAAATTAACATTTTATAAATTATGTGCCTTTAATTTAAAACTAATTTGAAGGGCATGCATCATCAGCAGTGAGACTCTTTGACTTTTTCTTCATAAATTTAATTCACAAACAAAGCATCAGGCTCATTTTTCAAATATATTTGTTCATAAAGCTTTTGGACTATATATATATTTTATAAGTCCCACCCTGTAATTTGCAACTATTGAATGCCATACATTATCATTGAATTTTAATCATCAGTGGGATTGTCTTTTTTTTCTTGATAATTTTCATTGATTCAAAAAAAAACACCAGCATCATTTATTTTAAACTTAGTTTCCATAGGTATTTTTTCAATGTTTTTTTTTAATTTTAAAGTACTGTATATGCCTTTAATTTAAAGCATATTGAATGGCATAAATCATCAAGAGTGGGGCTCCCTGATTTTTTCTTTATATTTTTAATTCACAATATATACAGTATAACCAAATCATCAGTGGGATCTTCTTTTTTTTCTTGATAATTTTCATTGATTCATTGAAAAAATTCCAGCATCATTTATCTTAAACTTATTTTCCATAGGTATTTTTTCAATGTTTTTTTTTCCTTACATAAAGTATATGCCTTTAATTTTAAACCTTTGAAGGGCATAAATCATCAAGAGTGGGGCTCCCTGACTTTTTCTTTATATATTTGATTCAAAAAAAAAAAATATATATATATATATTTCCATGGCAAAGAAAGTGCTGGATGGCTACACCCTGTATATGTATGCAGATATAATCATCTATCTCTCTATAACCATATGTATATACATTATTATATAGAGCCAAACCTTGGGCAGGGATGATGGGTCTGGCAGAAGCAGCAGTGCACACAAGAGTGAGCCAACACAGCAGCCAGAACCTGCAGCTACAGCAGCCCAGCATTCCTCTTTCTCTCTCAAAAACACTTTTGCTTCACACTCAAAAAATGTCCCCCATAATCGTCACCCGCAACCACTGGATACAGGGGAAAATCCGGGCCTTGCCTTATTCCTTTCCTCTTCCCTCAGCTGCTGCCCTCGTGCCATTTCGGATGCATTCCTTTGTTGTTATCGCCTGCCTTTTTATTTGCAAAAACAGCAGAGACAGAGAGTGAGAGAGAGAACAGAAAACGCTTTGCACACTTGCGCAAAAAACGGGAGAGAGAGAGAGAGAGAGTGAGAGAGAGAGAGAGAAAATCAGCACCCATTTCCTGCTGCTGGGGTCCATATTCCTTTTTTCCCACGCTGGCTGCTTCAAGTGCTGATGTTCCTGCTGCTGCTGTTTCTGCTATAAAATGGCAAACATTTTCTCCAGCTGCTCCGAGTGTTTAATTTTTTAGACTTTATACAAAGGAGGGGAAGATTTGTCCTCTTTTGCTACACATTGTATAAAGCAGGAGACACATCACATATATACAGTACCTTCACACAGCAGCACAGACCCTTTACAGCACTGCCTTGCATTTATTATTGTCTGCACACACACAAGAATGTGTACATGTATATTCGCATTATTAAGACACACTCACACTTTGAAATACAAGAGCAAGACAATTGAAAATGTGGCAGAAAAAAAAGCAGTGGGGACAAAGTTGGTTGTGCAATATATGCTCAAGAGTTTATTCCACTTTTTGTAAGCTCAGAAATAAGCACAATCACTGGCAACCCTTGCTGTCCTTTTATATAGTACCATATATACATTTTCATTTTTCATGTTTCCTTTTTTCACTGAAAGAAAAGGAGATTTACTCTGTTTTGCTATTTTTGGGTGAATTATGGATCATAGCTCAGTGAAACTGTGAGAGTCAAATGATGAAGGTTGGTTTGACAGCAGAATGTCCCTTCCAATCTTTCTCTCAGCTAAAATCAACTTCAGGTTTTTTCAGCATTTTATAAGAAATTACATTTTCACCTTGGGATATGTGAGTTACTGAGATTTTTCAAGAGGTAAAACTCCAAAGGGAATGCAAATTAAAGTGGTTCCTCAAGTTAAAAATGATTTTTACTTGATATTTGGTTCCAAGTTCCCAAATTATCTTGATGGTGAAAAATCATGATATCTATGCTGGCAATACACTGCTGCGATCATTTTGCACCCCAAAATAGGAGAGGGAGTGGAATTGTACTGTGTGTCATGATGATGACCAGAATACAAAGCATGTGGTAGAGGACTAGTACCTTGCAATTTGACCGTAATCCATTTCTGGACTAGCATCAAATGGCAAAGCAGTCAATTTGCAAGACACTGTGTAAAAATTCATTAAGAGCAGCCCAAAAAGCACTAGAAAATGGCTGAAGCCAGTCAAATTGTGGGGCAGAGGTCAAATTGTGAGTCAACCTCTCAGCTTATCTGACCGTTGAATTGTGGGATGAACGGGAGGTCAAATTGCAAGGTAACACCTGTACACAGTTTTGTAGTTGGTTTTTCAATTGTTTTTGTTATGCTGTGGACTGTAGTTGAGTGTAACAGTTTGTGGGTTACTCTACAGACTGTCATCAATCAGGGTGGTTAGACTTGGGGTGTCAGATTCCAGGAGGTCCTCAGGGTTTTCAGAGTCCCTGGGGTCAGGGGTGGTGACCACTGAAGTCTCCTTGGTGAGGATGAGACTGTGGAGAGTGGCCAAAAGCTTTTGCCTCTCATCCCTGAGAAGCTTCCTCTCCTTCAGGTGAGCCTGGGCTTGTTGCAAAGCTTCCTGCTTTTGCCTGGCCATTTGGGTCTTCTCCAGGCCCACCAACTCAGCCAGTCTGCGCTTGAGTTGCTTCACTTCCTCATTGGGCTGTTTCTTGTGAGGTCTTTTCCTGATCTTCTTGATCCCTGGTGGAGGGATGAACTTGATGGTCCTAGCTATGCTGATGGGAATGTAAGTGGAGACCTCAGAGCACAAGGTTGGGGTGATGGTTGGCTTGTCTGCATTGCCATTGTCCACTGTGATGGTGGCCAGGGTGGCCTGGGAGGAAAAGGTCCCCATGACATCTGAAGACTCCAGGCTCACACTACCTACACCACAAAACACATTCTCTCAACTCTTGTGCACAATCTCTGCACTCTCCAAGTTTCCAAACACCTCCAAGGTGGTAAATTGGTGCAGTACTTCCATATACCACTTCTATTTTTCTATTAAATGTGACTGTATTTGTTGGAAACAGGTTTGTGAATTTTAAAATATCTTGTGCATGCAAGTAAAAAAACATCTACATAAATGGTTCATGGCTGTAAAATTGGAAGGTACTACTTGTAGCCCTTATTTTCTTGCAATATTTTATCAAAGGTATCCATTCACTTTGGTATGTCTCTGCTAGTACCATATTTACTTGATTACCACGTGCCGTATTTACTTGAGTAAGGCGCGGACAGAGGTTTTTTAGTTGAAAATTTTTCAAAAATCTTATCCCCGAGTAAGACGTGCACCCCAATTTTTAGTGAATCTTAAACCATAAAATTTCAAAATAAAAAATAAATTTGACTTTTGGTGTGGATTGAACAAAAATCTGATGAATTTTCAATTTTTTCAATACGAAAATGTTTTCTTGTCTTGTTTGTTCCAAATTTCTCCATTATAATTAAGTATAATGCAAACATAACTTCCTAAAACTTTTTTAAAATTTTGTACCCACTTATGATGCGCATCCCTTTTTTCTTCTGAAATTTGGGAAAAAGGTGCACGTGGTACTCAAGTAAATACAGTATATTGCAGTCTCTCGAAACACCATTGCATATAGTCAATGGAAACCACTTACAAAAAGGGTGAATGGCAAGCCATGATAAACCCACACACATTTCACTTGAGCTTTTCTTTTATAGAAGTGTCTTATTGGACATTTGTTAAATGAATAATAATCAACTGGTATGTTTTGAGTTATTTGACATATTCTACATCAGTGTTCCCCAACCCAAGGTCCATAAACTGGTATCAGTCCACAGGAGTTTTTCTTTTTGCCAGTTTACAGGGAATTATCTTCAGCATAATACACTCCTAAATATCAGCCATGAAGTCTGTTATCTTTATCTTAAATTTTGAAAAGAGAACAATGGTTGAAATTATCTAATGAAAAATTAAATATGGCTTTTCTCCTAATATTGTTTTAGACAAATGTTATCCTGCTGAAATGAATTATTTTAATTATTCACTCTGAGAAATGCTGCTTCAAGCCCAACTTTCCAATTTTTTGAAGACATTTCCACTATATAGCGGCTTCATCAGTTCTCAACGTAATTTTTGCAAAATGCAGAAACCTGTTAAGTAACTGCCAAGCAAAGCTTTTTGAGTCTGCAAACATTTCATGAAACTTTGCCAATCTGCGGATTTTTGGTTCTTGGAAATGTGCCCAGTAGTGGGCTCAAAGTGGTTGAGGAACACTGTCCTATTCACCATATGTGTGTTTGGCATTATCATCTGCATATTAGAGTGTTGTACAGGAACTTTGCAAGTATGCCAATGTATGTATATAAGAAAGAGGAATGGATCACATCACCTGCAAAGAATGCACTGAAACAAGCCAGTGCAAAGAGCTTCATGGCAAGGAGATGCACCACTATTCAGAGAGAAGGATCAAGAGAAATAATCCACAAGTCTGCTCTGGACACAAAAAAAAATATTGTTTATTCAGCCACAAAAAGGCGACACTCTCATGGCACTATTGACTCAGGGCTGACCTAATATACTAGTGGGCGACATGGCTCAATCTGCCCCATCATCTGTGACTGGATGCACAAGTTGGGACTCGGGAGATTGCGGCTAAACAGCTTGGATCCAGATGTCGCTCCTCCTGCTGCTGCTGCTGTTGCTGGGGTTGGGATCAGTTGCCTGGCTTCTTTTTCAAGGAACTCGAAAAAGTGTTTGCCCTGCAGGAATTTCAGAGCAGAGTTCCTGCAGAATTGATCCTTTGTTTTACATCCATATACGTATAACGCACAGACAACATGCAGAGTCAAAGCGGGGACAAGAAAGAACACTCATACAGCACAGATGTCGCCTGAGGTCTCAGGGGTGATTCATTTTTATTTTCATTTGTCACAATCCTCTCTCTTTTTGTGTGTGTCTGTGTGTCATCAGCTTGGGTCTCACTGCTGGAGATCTGGTCTGAAAAAGGCATTTTTGAAAGAGAAGAAAAATATGGTGAATTTCTGTGTTTTCGCACAGAGGTCGCTGCTTTTTTTTGTGTGTGTTTGAAAATGTATTTCTTGTATTGTGAGGTTTTTTTTTTTTTTTAGAGGAACTTGGAATGTTTCCAGGCGTCAGGGTTGCCAGCAGCAGCACTGCTTTGCACTGTTTTCTCTTCCACGCGGAGACCGGCTTCCGCGCGGCTGAGTTCCGCCTCGTCACCCACAGGTGTCGCTTCTGTGTTGCGGAGAGCGCCTTCGATTTTCATCGCGTCGCCCGAATACGCCAGGTACCCCGTCCCTGCGGCTTCTTTCTCTTGGTCTTCATTCTGCTGATGCTGGTGTTGTTGTTGTTGTTCTGACGGTGATGTTTGTGGTGTGTGGGCAGTGTTCTTTGATTGAAAATACCTATCGGCTGGGACTGGTCCAGCTACGGCTGCTGCGGCTGCTGCTGCTGCTGCAGATGGGGGTTTGGTTGGTGCGGGTGCCGGGCTTGACACGAGCGGCACCTGTGGAGTTTCTGCGAACATGTCATAGTTGCCTCTGGATTTCCCTTGGCCAGGTGCCGCTCCTGCTGACGCATCTACGTTCGAGGCATGTGATATATACATACAGGACATTATAGACATTATTCCTGCCTTTTTTTCTTTTCTTCTCACATTTGTGCTTGTCATTTCTATGCGGGCAACCCCTGCAAAATGGACTTAATTTGTGCAATATAGTCCGTTATGTGAAAAGTCTGTTATGCAAATTCAATTATTTAAAAATTGATATTTTTACTTTTGGCCATTAATTTTAAACCAACATAATAAGTCTGTTGGGCAGATTTTGGGCATTAGGTGGAAGGAAAAACTGCCTGTGGAGGGGAAAGATGCCTTTTGTGGGAGGTCTGTTAAGCGGGGTTTGACTGTATCCTCTTTTGTAGAGTGGATCAAATGCAGACTCACAGTCTGGAATATTGATGAATGATCAGGGAAATATTGAAAAGAATACATTGATTTACATAATCTGGGGTGAATTGTTCGTTTTCCCCTTGTTGGGGGGGGGGGGGGGTACTTTATTCTGTTTGAAAAAGTTGAACAATAAGGTGTGCAGAAATCATCAGGTGATCGAGTTATTCGGTGACTGACTGGCATTCTCAGTTTGAATATTTGCAGAAGGCTTTCCATGTAAGCAAAAGTCTAAAATTAGGAGGTGATTAATAATTCTTTTTTTTATTAGAATGAGACAACTGTATATGCACAATTGTTATGAAGACATACTTGAATGATGTTCAGTTCTGAACAATTTCATTTCAATGTATTTTGGTACCTGACTTCAGATCATTGACATTTTCATGGAATTTTCCTTGTTGCATGAGTCTCATTTTCTCCAGGCCAACTTCCTTCTCATGCAGCCTGAGTCTCTCTTGCTGCAGTCTCTTCAACTGCTCCACTTCCATTTGCCTTTGCATGTGTTCTTGCTGAGCCTTGTTTTTCACCTAGAAAAAAAAAAATCCAAGGAAGGGACATTTTATCAGCTCTTTGAGCAAACTGAAGTGCCCTATGCAGACAACATAACCACCCATTTTTATTTTTGCTCTATGATAAAACCCTCCTTAGGATATAAAACCAAAGTTGCTTAATGATTCATTGAAGGGATTTTATTTTTCTAAAGTTCTTCTCCAGCTGGATCTGAGGTCCTGAGATTTGTTTCAGAAATGTATGATATAACTCAAGACTAATTTCATTTTTTTGCTGAATTCAAAAATGAACTGGGTGAAAAATCTTCTTAATGTTGAAATGTAACTTCCCTACTGTATGAAATGTGCAGTTGAAATGGTGATGCTTTCTGTATTATTGTAATCCTTTTTATTGATCAACAAGCCAATCAGTAACTGCACTTGATTGTTTTGCTGAAAAAAAGACTAGGATATGAAAGGTTCTGGACTACAAGCTGACCATTGACATTTCCAACATGAACCTTTGTGTCTTGAGTCATAAATTGAGCCATGTCCATAAGGACCAAATTCGTGTATAGTCTGATTCAGCATATTGTTGATATAACTAATTGATAAGGCATTAAAATCAGTGTGCTGGTTGATGTGCACCTTTTCCTTGAGAATTTCCCTGAGCTGGGCTTGCTGCCTGATCCTCATGGAATCCCTTTCCTTCTGCTGAGTTATTTGCATGGTTTTTTGATCCTTTGTATGCTGGTCAATCATGGCCTGCATTTGGTCAATGACCCTTTTCATCTGAGAAAGCTGCTTGGACTGCATTTCCTCCAATTCTTGCTGGTGTCTCATCTGCACCCTCTGCCTCTCCTCCACTTGCTTATCCTCAAACTGCTGATGAGCTGCATGCTGAAGCTGTAAGTTGTGAAGATCCCTCAGGTGCTTGAGGATCCTCTCATGCTGCACTGTGGGGTCTGGGTCCTCTGCCTGCTTCTTGGACAACTTGCTGGGTCTGTCTGTGGTCTCCTGGGCGCTTCTTTTCACCTTCTGCTGCTGCTGGGCATTGTTGTGGTCTTGGTGCAATGAGAAGATGTCTGAGAAGTCTGGCAGCATCTTGTGATGCAACACTGTGGATAACAGTCACATAACCCACAGGCACTGTCACTATCCTCACAACATGGCCCCCCTGCTTGACACTTGTCACAGCAGGGCAAAGAACTCACTCAAAGAGCTAGACAGACCATCCCTGGGGTACCACAGGCCACAAAGAAGCACCACTGCCCACTTGGGGGTCATTTCACTACAAGAAAAAAAAATCACAGCGCTCTCACCTGCAAAGAACGGGTCCTATCCCCACTTTGGTGTGAAATCATTGGTACACGTGGTACCTGGAAATTCAACTGTAATCCATTGCTGGGCTAGGGTCAAATTGTGAAGTGCTTCAATTGCAAGACAATGTCAAATGCAATGTTTTCTACATCAAAGCTGATGTTCTGTGTCTCTCTGCTGGTCAAATTGCAGGGCAGAGGTCAAATTGCAAGTCAACCTCCCATTAGAACGTTGAATTGCATGATGTACAAATTCTGGGATATGTGAAATTACAAGGTACCACTTGTATACCATTATGACTCATTTGAAGGTTTTTCAAATTATAAATTTTTTTGAGTATCCTGTTTATGTGTGCCTGGGATGATGGGGTTAATTGAGCCTTTTGAGTTTGATCCCTTAAATAAAGTAATTTTTATATTGGGTCATATGTGTGTGTTGTGACTGAGTTTAATACTGGGACAGAGGGTTTATTGGACAATTTTCCAAGAAATATATAAGCCCACAGCACAAGTAGAGAAATTTTTGCAGTTCAGCTTGTCACTAAATATGTGCTTTGGAATTTGCTGTGCTGAGAAATGGAAATTTTGGCACGATGCTTGTGCTCTAAGATGTATCACAACCATCTGTCAATTGATCTATTGAGGGAAACCATCATTGCTGAGAGAGATTCTAAAACCTCAAATCACTGTTGACTTATCACATGGTGAGAAGCTGGTGATTTTATCCAATGTTTTATCTCTCTATGGGTGACTGTGCAAACAGGGTTGTGCTCCTGAGTAGACCACTTTTGTCTCACACACACAGGGGAAAACAATGTGCAAACAATAAAAACAGACTCCAGTATCACTATGGGAGATAAATGGATCATTTTTTTCCAACAATGTTAAAAGAAAGTCAGGTTACAGCAGTGCTGGCACTGGGTGGACAAACACTGGCATTCACTGAATGATTGAGCATGTTTGAGCAGAGCAGGAAATAGGGGGAGGGGGTTGGCTTGTTGTGCCCTGGTGCTGCTGGTGTTTGTGCCAAAATCTGCGCAAGGGAATGACTTATTGGGGAGAGCATTTGCTGATGGGAGGGGAGGGAGGCCAGCAAACAGGGCCAGCTTTAGTTCCCAGCCATCTGCCACCTGTTACCCAGGGGATTTTGGCGCCGCATTCTTCTCTCCTTTTTATATTTTATGCATACATACACACACACACACACACACTCACACACATACATGCATATACAATCTCTCTCTTTCTGTCTGTCTGTCTCTCTCTCTTCTTCATCTACTGCTGATTAGAATAGTAAGTTTGGAAAACCAGTTCTCAAGATCTGCATGCAGATTTCTTGAAGACATTTGTCATGTGTGTCTCCCCAAAAAAAAAAAAGAGGAGATGTCTCATAATGGAATATCCAAGTGCTTTCATATCTTGACAGGAACAAACTCACCATGAGGAGTTAGGATCCTGGTCCTCTTTTTTTTCAGAGCCAGGAAAGGAAAGTCACTCATCAAACATCCTCCCTCTGCTAATCAAAGTCCATTTCATATTGTTCCTGCTTCAGTGCAGCTGATGAAGTGATGTGGACTCAAGGTGGGTAGAGTCAGAGTTTTATTTAGTCCCTTAGTTTGCAAAAACATGTATTTTTCTTCTCCTGGTGTATATAATCAGGTACACAGTGGTTTGACAAATTTACACAGGGTGATTTTCAGGATTGAAAGAAAAATCAGTGATGAATTTTTTATTGCCAAAGCCACATTCCTTGGCTGTGATGAAGATGTGGAGAAAATGGTCTTGACTAAACTGCTGAATATGTTTCCAAAATTAGATTTCAAAAAATTCAAGGTACACCACTTTACTTGAATGGCTCATTAGCACTCCATCAAAATTTGGCAACACTGATGAGAGGAAGTTTTCCTTATTTTTTTCAGGATTGAAATTGCTTTTTATCATACTCAGATTGCTTTGTTTGAAAAACTAAACCAGCAAAGAACAAATTGGCACAATTTTTCTCAAATTTTGATGTCAATGAAAGATTTATCAGTATGTATAATGAAGATATGCACTTTTTGGAGAAACTTGACAGTATCTGTTTAGAAATTGAGAGAGAGAAGCAGAAAAAGTGCAACTGGCAAATATCACTCTGGAAAATATGAAAATGGCAAATAAACCTTCTTAGGGATGGAATTCCAAAAAAAGTGATTTTTTTCATATCATATTTATATTTACTATTTCCATCTTAGAACTAAGACTTTTTTCAAATCTTGAACAGAAAATAAACTTGAAAATTATGAACAGATAGTTTTCTCCAGCACAGCCAGTTTCTGTTCAACTGCTTTTAGATTCTCCAGGGATATTTTGACAGCTGGATCCTTGTTGTCCCTGGAAAATCTGTTCTTCAACTTCCGTCTCTTTGGCTTCTTCCTTCTTGTCTTCAGTTCATTCAGTACTTTTTTTTCCATCACAGGGATAAGAAAAGGAAAATGACCCAAGGATGTCAGTCTCAACAAGTGGGCATTTGGTTATATATGACTTATGAGGGCATCCAAGCATCCAGAATAAGCCAGGAATACATTTTACCACATTTTTTCCACATCAGTTTTTTTCAAAGCTTTGAAAATTTGCTTATAGAAAGTCACTAAACATTTTCTTTCACTGGTTGAATATACAAAAAAAATTCAAAGATAAGGATAACCTTTGCCATACCTGAGATGTATTCATCTTCATTCAGAAAGCTGAATGGATTGATGCCAGTGTTTCTGGGGAGGCTAGTTGTGGTGGTACCTTCTCTTTTTTTCATCTGGTCAAAGAGCCCTTGCACCTTATTCACCAGGTTCTCCATCTTGTTGGCAGCAATGGCAATCTGAGTCACTGGTATGGCATAAAGATCCCTTCTTGGAGGAGTTCTGGGTGTCCATGACTCCATGGTATGATGGTCCTTTTTCAAGTTGACCAAGCCAGGCATTTTATTGAGTCTCTTAGGACCTTGATTTACAATAGTTTTTCCTGATGGTGGATCTCTTTTCTGGTTCCTGATGCTCTGTAGGCTTTGAACATTCATCTTGGAATGCTCTTGTTCAAGTCCAATGAGATCAACAGTCTTGTCTGATTCAGGAGCTAAGGTTATCTTTGTGGAAGTTTGGGTAGTGGGTGGGGTGGTGGTGGTGGTGGTAGTAGTAGCAGTAGTAGTACTAGTAGTGGACCTAGTGGTAGGAGTGGTAGTTGGAACAGCAGTAGTAGTACTACTGCTACTAGTTTCAGAAGTGGTACTAGTATGGGGCAAAATAGTGATGACATCCATCAATGGCACTGGTTTCTGGGCAATCACTACTTTCAGAGGGATGTTGACTGTTTTCACAATGGGCTGGCCATCTTGCAGCTGCAATTAAAAAAAATTTCAAAGTTACTCTTATATATCTTGTATGATTGAATATCATCATTTAGTCCAGTATCCTCATTTGAATATAAAAAATATTCATATATATATGAATATACTGTATTGACATGATGTGAGATAAATTCAAGTTTTTGCTGACTGCTTATTTTTAGTCTTGGACAAAGTTCATAGTTTGAGTCCAGTTTTTAACTTTAAAATTGCTTTTTTTTTTAGATGAGATTCAAAATTTGGAAGATTACTGTGATATCATGCAGCTAAAGAAGTTCTAAACTCACATTTTCAATGGCCAAAGTCAAGCCAGGGACATCTGTCTTGGCATGTCTGCGCCCATGGTTTAAGTTACTGTCACTAGGTGGCGCTCCTAAATGACAAAGGTTCATTTTGTTTTAATCAGGAAAAAAACTGTTGAACCAAAGTGAGACTCACTGGAGGTAGTCACAGGCTTGTTTTTGTTCAGCATCTTCTTGAGTGCTCTGGCAATCTTTTCCAGGCTAACTGGCTTTCCAGCCAGATCTCTGTTTACAATTTTTTCCAGCATGACAGCCACAGCCTGTGTCTCAGGCAATTCTGCACTGTCTTCTTCAGCAGTGATGTTGTCCAGCAGGTTTTTTATTTTCTGCATCTTTGATTCCTCTGCCCTTGTCATTTTCAATTGGCGCTTGTTTATCTGGATACAAACAAAAACATCAGGTTGAAGGATGAACATATGTCAACAGTATATGGAATGAAGAAAAGCTGGTGAATTCTGAAAGGAAGAATCAACTCAGGAATTTTTAATATCTGTCTTGAAAATATTTATGATATATTTGCCATACTTTGAAATACAGGAGGATTTTTCATATAAGCATCCTAATAACCAAATCTTGAATGTTGATATGTTACATCAACATTTTTTTTGAAAAGCCATAATATCACATTGACCTCTTCATATAAACTGCTGAGGTTACACTGGCAAAACACAATCAAATCTATATTTTCACATTTGCATTATGCTGAAGTATTTGTAAAAAAAAACAAGAACAATTTTGAACAAAGCTGAGAAGGGTATATTTTGAATATTATTTTACTGTATATGCAGTTAGTTTATTTGGTGGATTCAAAATTCCTATTACCATTTTGAAGTGTTTTGCATTATTTTGTTTTCATGAAATCACAATGTGAAAACTCAGCATGATTTTTGAAGAGCATTGTTTCTTTTTCTTGAAAAAAACCAAATTTCTCATCAAGAGCTTTCATTTCAAGTTCACTACATGCAATAATGCAGAAGGGCCAGGTGTACATTACTTTTTCCTGATGGAAAAAAGCATTTGAATAACATTAAAAATCTGCATAAAATGTTCTGAATGTTGCTTTTGAATGGATAAGACTCACAGGTGGTTTGAAAGTTGGCAGCCCACCTCTGGCAATCCTGTTGAGAAGCACAGACCTGGGTTTCACTTCATCAGGTATTGCCTGCAGAATCTCAGCTGCATCATTGGCAGAAGCATTCCTTTTCCCACTTTCCCTGCTTCCTAAAAAGTTGCCTGTTCACAAAAAAAATCCAACTAATTCCATCAAATTCACTCCATATCATCAGAGCAAATGACTTGTTGACACATGCACTCCACTCACCAAACCCTAAAGCAGAAGAGATGAGCAGGAAGCAGGAGGTGGTCAAGAGCAGAGTGCTCATGTTGACAATCCCCATGAGCACCCAGAGGTCGGATGAGGATTTGAAGCATAAAAAACATGGCTGACATCCCATTCTCCATATTTCCCTTGCACTTGGGGAATCACACTGTGGCTGGTACAAACATGAAATCCTGCCCTCTGTTCCCAAAGTGATAAAATTTAGGGCTCTGAGTCCTGTTGGTTTGTATTCACACTCTCTTAGTTATGGTCTTATACTGGTGAAGTTCATCCTTCTTTATGAGAAAAACACTGAAATATTTCACTTACTCAAGTCATTTTTAAAGCATGTTTCTGCTGATGACATTTTCAGATAATGGGGAATATTGATCCAATAAGAGTTGCTATGGTAGTAGACTCCAGAGCACTTGTTGGATCAATTTGGCACCCCTACATCCCAGCATATTTACATCATGAACTTTCTTGCTCATTCTCACTCCAAAGGTGAATATTCTGTGGTGAACTGGTGGATCAAAGTGAGGGCAAATGGACAATGTTCAGAGAGACAGAGTCCAAGCAGCCAAGCAGTGAGTTTGAATTTTTTGACCAATGACTTTCAACCTGTGGTTTTAGCTTTTTGAAAAAATTTTTCAATTGAAACAAGACTGGAGAAGGGGTTTCCACCAAGTTTTCAGGAGAATTCTTCCAGAGAGAAGTTGTTGCTCTGGCAAGCAGATAATTTTAGAGCCCAGTGTTCACTTATCTTGCCAGAGAAGCGCCCTCTGCTGCTGGTTCTGCCAAATGAAGCTGGTGTCAATGTAAGAAGCTCTCTCTAGATGTCGCAGCCATCTCAATAAGTGCTGAACATACAGTATTGTCTTTTTCATATTGCAGAAGTTTGTTTCCACCAGCATCTCACCAAGTTTCCTGCCACTCTGGGGAATTTATGATTGGGTTCCTTGTGCAAAGTTTGTTGCAGAATCAGTGACATATGTTCCTCCGCAGAGTCATTCTACTCCTGTGAGCATATTTGCATTTTTTTAGGATTAAGAAAATCAATTTTTGCCATTTGTGATACAGACAGAGAGTCTTTACTCCCCTGAAACTGTGCTGAGGACTCAGTTTGGGAATAGCTTGGAAATGAGCACTTTGTTGTGCTCATTGCTACTGGGGGCAGGGTATGACACCTATGTGGTTTT